TTTTGTACTTTTATCACCCTTCTTTATCCATCTGGCCCTCAATTTTTTTCTCCATGAGATCTTCTCCATTTGCAATATGTTTGTCAATTCAAACTTGTTGGGTTCCTTGTAAGCCAAGTTTTTAGTGGACAAACCACTCTCCTTCCTCCTCCAACTTTCCCAATGCCTCAATATCTTCTAGTAGAGATTGAGCAATCATACCTTCACCCTTCTTCTTCTGCCCGCTCCTCCTTGCACCACTTCCGAATTTTGGCCTTCACCTTTTTAAGCTTTTGAGTCATTCTAAAGCCAACATTACTATCTATTCTAATCTCATTGCACTACTCACTAATCTGGTTGCAGAAACCATTAACTCTTAACTATTTATCCTTGAACTTGACGGGACAAGAACCCCGTTTAATCTGATCAAAGACTAGGCAAATGGGAAAATGATAAGAGGTAGTGCGTTGCGGGAACTTTTGACACAAACCTAATAGTTGATAACAAGAAACAAACACCAAAAATCTATCAATTCTTGAACAAGTCAAATTTAATCTCTGATTGAACCAAATCCATTTATCTCCCATGAGAGGTAAGTCTAGTTGTTCGAGTCTATCTAAAGTTTCTCGAAACACATTAGCATAAACCTTCAAAAAATGCTCTCTCGATCTCTCTTACCTATTCAAAACTATATTGAAATCTTCACTTGCAATCTATGGGAGGTCCAATTACTACTCATGATTATCCAGATCCTTCCACAACAAACTCCTCTCTGTCCTCTCACCTCTGTTGCTTATACCAGTGAACACGTACCTCCACTCATTATTACGATATTAAAGTAAACATGAGACAGAGAATTCCTCCAACAGCACCTCCTCACAATTAAGCAAACCATCATTGCATAAAAACAGAATCCCACCCAAAACCCCCTTAGTTGGTAGTTCTTTCCAAACCAATCTCTTCAGTCTTCCAAAGGCTACGAACAATATCAATCGAGATGGACTCCATTTTAAATTTTTCTTCAACTTTGGTCATTGAGAACAAACCATTTGATGTTGTTTGTGAAGCACGATAAGCAGATGGAATTGGTGTGAGCAAGAACGGGAGAGGATTTAGGATTTTGAAAGACAAATACGGCCCTCTTCCATGACACTTGAGGAGGTTATCTTGAAAAAAGACTAAGGTAGACAAAATTATGAAGTCAAGGACTTCATCTAATTGGGCCAATCAGGAATAGGGTTCTCCTAGACCACTTAGAGAGAATATCGTAGAAACTAAGGCATACAAGGTCAAATTATACACATTTTCCACATTTCCCGAAACGAAACCATACTATACATATATTGCCAACATTGCAAAGGGAAAAAAACAACAAAAAAAAGAAAGAGAAAAAAAAAACCTTAAGGATGACCCTCGCATCATTTACAATGATGCCCCTTGTATTTTCTCATAGTCACAACCTAGATGAAAGGTGGTTACACATCTTAGATAAATGTTACCCCCCCACCAAAAAAAAAAAAAAAAAAAAACTCATCACAAAAGGCTGGCCAACTAGCATAAGCTATGATATTTTTAACAGAGAATGAACTCTCAAACTCCTCAACAACTTTCTTCTTACCTCCAAAGAAGAACAAAGAGCTTCCAACTCTACCCAAAGAGAGGAAGTATCAAACTCAGCAATGAAAGCCCTTTGTTAAGAGTTTGGAATGCCCTTCAATCTTCATAATGTAATCTCCAATAAATATAACACAGTTTTCCACTAACTTACGCATCATTTGATGCTCCATTAGGGCCACCCTGGCATGTTTTTATGATATTCTCTATTTTTGTAGGTTCACCTTGTCTTAGCAAACGACACAGCCTCAACATCAAGGCTTGAGGGTGCGGAGGACTCCAGTCTTGATCAGAGAGATCGCTTCACTACTAGCCTTTGGTTGAGCAATTAGTGTCTTTTTGTGAATTATTAAGAAATTATAGAATTCCTAGTTTTTGAGTTGATTTGTACTTGAAAGAACCCCTTTCGTGTCCACAATCTTGGTGATCACTCTTTCCTTTTCCTTCAGTCAACCTGAATACCCTAACGAAGCGATTTAGCAACTATAAGTTTAACCACTTGAATACTAGCAACAGTGCATATATAGACGCATACAGCATTGCTGACTCATCAAACCACACCATTCAAATCATAATTACCTTAAAATACAAATTGAAGAAAGAAAAACGAGGAAACCAGCAAAATGCAAAAACTAACCATCATAAGAAGCGGCGGAACACAAAGCACTGCTTCCCGAAGATGGCGACTCGGCAGGCCTCAGGAAAGATTTTCTACCGACAATCACGTCCTTACCTTCATCTTCGTCGTTCGGAGAAGACAACAAGTCCCTAGAATCGTCACTATCACCCAAGTCCCTGAAAAACCCTACCACCTCGTTCTCTAGCTCAGCTGCAGCGACATTATCGGAGTTTGGTTGCTTCGAGGCAGAAGAATTGGGCGGGGTCTCGTAGTCCTCGTCGCGGTTGAAGATGTGGACCGACGTAATTTCCCGGTCGGCGAAGCTCACGCGCCGAGACCGCTTTTTGCGAAGGGCGATAGTTTCTTCGTCAGTTTCGGCAGTGTTGTTGCTAGGGTCTTCCGGGACCCGAGATGCCATGATACAATTAGAAGAGGAGACTACTGTCAGAACGGAACTGAGGAGCACATTCGAATTTGATTAGGGCTTGAAAGTTGAAATGAAATGCATTTGTTAGTCTTTTCCAAGTGGAAAGTAGAAACAGCGGAAGAGTTTGTGCGGGAAAATGCTCGATTTAAATGTATTTTTTTATTTTTTATTTTTATATATTTCTCCATATGTCTTCTTTTAGATTTTACAAACAGTTCACTTCACTTCAAGGCGCAAAGCAAAGCTTATGAGATCCTGTGTAGTGTGTGTGCATATATATATATATATATATATATATGTAAATAGAAAATGAATAAAGAAAATTATAATGTATCAATCTTGTATATTTTATTTTAATAGTTTTATTAAATTTTATAAAAATTTTAATTTGAACTCAATCCAAAAACTATTTAGCAGAATTCTTATAAAAGTATGCAAATCAAATTTTATAAGATATTATGAATAGTGAACATGTATATTTTTAGGAAATAAATAAAAAAATATTTTTTTTATCAGTTATATATATTTTACTTTAATAATTTTATTAATTTCTATGAAGATTTTATTTTTTTTTTAACTCTATCCAGGAATTATTTGACAGAATTTTTATATTATAAATTTATAAAAAGTACTATTTACTCTGTTAAGGACATTAACAAAATTTAAGATTTATTGATATAATTTGCCCTCTCAATGACAAGTCCTACAGCCAATCAACTTACCATCAATCGCAAAATCAATATCATTTTCTAAATACCTGTCTGAGTACAAGAACCCAAAAACAATTCGAGTCGCTAGATGTTGTGACACCTACGGGAGAGGACTCTTGCATGCCTCGTGAAAGTAGAGGGCATGGTAGCAGCATCACTATCTTATCTATCGGTGTAACCATGTGCTCGTGCAAGAAAGCTCTAGCTTGATAATCCAATCACTCCCGACCCAACAAACAAATTGCTGAAGGTAAACAATTCATAAACACATATGTCAATGGTACACCTAAACCCAGACCATTTGGTAGAGTGTCCCCATTTGAAGCACTGTCTTTCTAGCAAACCTGACACAGAAAAAAAAATGGGCACAAGTTCTCCCAGCAAGCTTTGGTCAAATGAGAAGTCACCCTCAGCTTTGGTGCTAAAGAAAACACCATAAACTCAACCATATAGCGCACGCCATGGGGCCTCATCATCCTTCGATGTCTTTATTGGATTCCAAATGACTTTTTCCTTTGAAAAGTGCAAGCCCGTGGAGCTTGCCAGAAGCTCCCCTATTTTATAGAGTACCTGAAAACCAGACACCTCTATGTTAGCTGATATACATAGATTCAGGTAAAAATGAGAACTTCATCCCCTCAAAGAAAACCATCCTTGTTGGTAGAAGTTATACTTGCAATAAATGTATATTACCAATTCACTACTGATGCAGAATAGATTTTCCTGAACAAACTAGAAATTATACTATTTAGAAGTCTACTATTAGATTATTTTAGAGTATTATTATAATTTTAATAATCTAATATTTTTATTTTTATTAATATTTATAATATTATTTGTATTAATTTTTTACTTTTATTAAGATTAATATTCCTAATTTTATTAGTTTACTGTTTCTTATTTTAATTCTACTTATAGAAAGTTACTTAAAAATTATTACAAATAGCTTTATAACTTCACTGATTAATCATTCAAGTTATTTAATAATATTTTTAAGAGTTCCTCATTGTTTTAATTGTGTGATGCAATCAAACTTTTAAGTATGATAGCACTAGGTGCTTGGTTTTTTTTTTTTTTTTTTGAAATCCCAAGATCTCTAATTGAACAAATCAATCCTATTTGTCCTACATCAACTACAGACAACAATCAGAGAATTCTCTTTATTGTTTCCAACTATTATTAGTTTGTAATCTTCATTACTTATATAATTATAAACATACTATATATTATCACACATTTATACTTATACCTGAAGTTCTTCCTGGAGAGCTTTATTGGAGAGACTTTGACTATGTTGCCCAATAAGAACAACAGTTGGCAGCTTCAATATGTGAACCAGCTGAAGAAAGCAGGACAGAGGCTCCGAATAAATTTGCAATGATGATGGTGGCTTCTGGATTTTGGTAGTCATGGCCATAGTTATGTCTCTTTCAGGACCTATTTGTATACCATAAAGAGAACTGCTATTTGTTGTCAAAGATCTGTTTTCACACTTAAGCTTTGATGATTCCACAATAAAAGGAGCTAGAACTGTGGGCATAGTTGATGGTATTTCTCCAGCAAGTTTTGCTAAAACTTCATTGACAGCACACACTAATATTGGAGGCTTGTAACTTTGTAGAAGAAACACTGAAACCTGAGAGAGGGAAGAAAGTACACCAAGGAAAATGGATCAAGTCATGATTTCCAGGACTTCCATATATCATGTGCAATTGTCATGTTACAGTAGTAAGTGTAATCTTCCTGTATCATGTGAACAAACCCCATATG